AAACTATCCAAACTGATTATTTTATTTTATTTTTTATTTTATATTGGATTTCTATACCGCCCTTCTCCCTAAGGACTCAGGGCGGTGTACAGCCAGATTAAAAAAAAAAAAACATGCAGAACAAATATTAAAAACAATTAAAAGATATATAAATTTGGCCCAATTAAAACTCATTTACCAATTAAAAACGTTTAAAACATTTAAAAACAGTTAAAAATTTCATCTTAAGCCAGCCCGGCTTGTTTAAATAAATGGGTTTTAAGGGCGCGACGGAAGGCACTGAGGTCTTGGATTCTCCTTATCTCTGGGGGGAGCTGATTCCAGAGGGTGGGTGCCCCCACAGAGAAGGCCCTCCCCCTGGGGGTCACCAGCCTGCATTGTTTGGCTGATGGCACCCCGAGGAGGCCCTCTCTGTGGGAGCGCACGGGTCGCTGGGAGGTCGTCGGTAGCAGCAGGCGGTCTCGCAGATAGCTAGGCCCTATGCCATGGAGCGCTTTAAAGGTGATAACCAACACCTTGAAGCGCACCCGGAAGACAACTGGGAGCCAGTGCAGCTCGCGCAGGAGCGGTGTTACATGGGAGCGCCATGCTGCTCCCGTCACTACCCGCGCTGCTGCGTTCTGGACCAGTTGGAGCCTCCGGGTGCTCCTCAAGGGGAGCCCCATGTAGAGAGCGTTGCAGTAGTCAAGGCGAGAGGTGACGAGGGCATGAGTGACTGTGCACAGGGAATCCCGATCAAGAAAGGGCCGCAACTGGCGAATCAGGCGAACCTGACAAAAGGTCCCCCTGGTTACAGCCGTCAGATGTTCCTCCAAGGACAGCTGCATATCCAGGAGGACTCCCAGATTGCGAGCCCTCTCTGTGGGGGCTAATGACTCGCCCCCAATAGTCAGTGATGGAGTCAACTGACTATATCGGGATGCCGGGAGCCACAGCCACTCAGTCTTGGAAGGGTTGAGCTTGAGCCTGTTCCTCCCCATCCAGACCCGTACAGCCTCCAGGCACTGGGACATCACTTCAAGGGCATCGTTGGGGTGGCCTGGGGTGGAGATGTACAGCTGGGTGTCATCAGCGTACTGGTGGTATCTCACCCCAAAGCCACGGATGATCTCACCCAGCGGCTTCACATAAATGTTGAACAGAAGGGGCGAGAGGACCGATCCCTGCGGCACTCCACAAATGAGAGGCCTCGAGGTCGACCTCTGCCCCCCCTGCCAACACAAACTGCGACCGGTCGGAGAGAAAGGAGGAGAACCACCGCAACACGGTGCCTCCCACCCCCAACTCTTCCAGCCGGTGCAGCATGATACCATGGTCGATGGTATCAAAAGCCGCTGAGAGGTCTAACAGGACCAGAACAGAGGAACAACCCCTGTCCCGAGCCCTCCAGAGATCATCAACCAACGCGACCAATGCCGTTTCTGTGCTGTGCCCAGACCTGAAACCCGACTGGAACGGATCTAGATAAGATGTTTCCTCCAGGAATTGCGGAAACTGTCGTGCGACCACACTCTCAACAACCTTCGCCATAAAGCGAAGGTTGGAGACAGGACGATAGTTGGCCAATATTGCCGGATCCAGGGACGGCTTCTTGAGGAGAGGCCTCACCACCGCCTCTTTCAAGGCGGTGGGGAAGTAACCCTCACTCAACGAAGCGTTGATAACACCCTGGAGCCAGCCTCGTGTAACCTCCCGGGAAGCCAGTACCAACCAGGAGGGACACGGGTCCAGTAAACATGTGGCCGCACTAAGTCTCCCCAAAATCCTGTCCACATCATCAGGAGTCACAGCATCAAACTCCTCCCAGATAACATTCTCAAGACTATTCCTCGTCACCCTGCCCTGATCTACCCAGTCAGAGTCCAAATCCCCCCGGATCTGGGCGATTTTGTCATACAGGTATTGTCCGAAATCCTCCGCCCTGCCTTCTAAGGGATCCTCCCGCACTCCTGGATGGAGCAGGGCGCGGGTCACCCTAAACAGGGCAGCCGGACGATTCCCTGATGACGCAATAGAGGCGGAAAAGTAGTTAGACTTTGCCGTCTCTATCGCCACTAGGTAGGCCTTAATATGCGACCTTACCAGTGTTCGATCAGATTCAGCGAGACTGGCCCTCCAACCGCTCTCCAGGCGTCTTTTCCGGCGCTTCATTTCCCTCAGCTCCTCAGTAAACCAAGGAGCCGCACGGGATCGGCATCGGGTCAGAGGCCGCAAAGGCACAACTCGGTCCAAGGCCCCACCAGCCGCCCGATCCCAGGCGGCTACCAGGTCCTCGGCCGAGTCATGTGCTAGATCCTCAGGAAATGGCCCAAGCTCCGTCTGGAACCTATCAGGATCCATCAGGCGCCTGGGGCGGATCCATCTAATTGGATCCACCTCCCTGCGGCGAGGGGTCGCGGTTCGAAGATCTAGGCGAAGGAGTGAGTGGTCAGACCATGACAAGGGTTCCATGTCTATATCCCCTATAACAAGACCACTCAACCACTGGCCAGAGACAAAAATCAGATCCAGAGTGTGACCTCCCCTGTGAGTAGGGCCATGAACTAACTGGGTCAGGTCCATGGCCGTCATGGAAGCCATGAACTCCCGAGCCACCTCAGACGTTTCACCGACGGATGGCAAGTTGAAATCACCCATGACTAAAAGCCTGGGTGTATCTACTGCCACCGTGGCTATCACGTCGAGTAGCTCAGGTAGGGCTGTTGCCACGCGGCAGGGAGCCAGGTACGTAAGCAACAAGCCCATCTGAACCCCACGGCCCCACCTCACAAGGAGGGACTCACATCCGGCTATCTGAGGCACAGTGGTCTCCCTCGGACCCAGATCCTCGTTAATAATAACCGATTATCATTTTGGAATTGATTTTTGGATGTTGGGTTGGGTTATTTTGCTCTTACTAGATCCATTACCATCTCCACATATCACTTTATCAGATATTCCCATTAGTCATTTAAATCAGCATAAGTGTGTGTGTGTGTCTGTCTCTGTGTAAAGATTTTTGATATATATGTAATCTGAATTTGGGAGGGTCTAGCATACATTGTGCAGATGTTCCTATATACAATGCCAGTTATTTGGTTGTGCCATTCAGTATACACTGCTTGTTTCTTAAACCTGCCACTCTATTTTGGACTGTCTATGAAGCCTTCTTCCAAAGTCTGCACCTTGAATTCTGTCTGGTGGTTGGTATGTGTGTCTATGTTTCTGTGTGTATACCATTTGCCTGAACAGACAAACTCATTACCATCAGTTTATTTTCCTTGAACCAATCTATTACTATCACCAGATTCTATCTATTACTATCACTAGATTATCCCCTTTCATTTACATTTTCATAAATACTCAGTTATTTTTAAAAGATGAAGAGAATGTGCATCAAGAAGAAAAGGAAGGAAAAATGCCTTTGTTTTAGATGATGTGCTCTACATTGCAGAGATGTTTCATTCTGTGAATAATGAAGTTTTCCAATTGACTGCAATAAGTAAATCTTGCTCAAACAGGTTTATTCATAGGTAAATTCATGTAAAACTAAAACCTTGTAGTGTAAATTCTACAGAAAGGAACCCCCAAGTTACTTACATTCAGAACAAATGCTTTTAAAAAAAGTTACCATATTGAATTAGAATGCCCTTTTCAATTTCAGCTAGCAACCAATTAAAAGTTGCAAGATTGACGTGGATTCAGTTTATGCCCAGTCCAAGTAAGTTAACTATGTGAATTAAGATATTTGTATTCAATATTGATCCTGCTGAGGTCCATGGTCATCTTTCCTAGTTTAGATTTTGATTAAACCAAATCAAACCATCCTGCAGTGGCAAGAGAATAAGGAATGTTTTAATACTTCGGTGTTTGTCACTCAACAATACTTAGAGTTGTCACATTTAGAAAACTAGAGGAAAACAGCACTGCGTACTTAACTGTTGTAGGAGGAGAGTCATGTTAGATTAGGGTGAAAAAAACATCCCAAAAAGTGTCATAGCACTTTTCCCAACTAACAAGTTTTATTAAAAGGCATAATCTTTCATGAGTTGCAGCTCAGTTTTTTAGATCAACCTGTCTTAGAGCAATTTATCTTGAGTGACATCTACTGGTGAAAAGTGAGTGTTCAGCAAATCTTTGTCACTAGTTGCTTCTGGAAGATTACCATTTAACCAGCCTAGATTGCTTTCATATGTTACTCAATCACCTCATAAGTATGTTACTTATCAAAGTAGCAGTCAGAATGTAATATATCCCTGCTGCTACCAAATAATCTAAAACCAGAGACTGCAACCTGCTTTTATTTTAAAGAGGCAAACAACATCCTGCAATCTTTTCTATTAAAACTCATGCCGTTTCCACTAAAAGAACTAGAAGCCTCAGTTTATTAGCTTAAAAAGTCAAACCTGTCTTTCTTTTTTCCCCTGGCAGTGTAGATGGAGAGAAGAACGTTGTTGCTGGGAATTTGGGAATAGCATTTTTCGCGGACCTTGATCTCCTATATCAGTGCCAAAGCAAGACCTTTGAGATCTCCGTGTCGCTATTACTCTTCGGAGATTTCAGTCTGCTTCTTGCCTAATTACTACTTCATTCTCGATTTCACCTTCTTTCCTCTGAACGTCTTTTCAAAAACAGCACCAGACATCTTGGAATATGAGGTGAAGCAGAGTCGTCCGGCGGCAAAGAAGGTTCGGCGAATGGAACTGTCCAGCGTCTCGAGGTGCTGAAAAAGTCTTCAGACGTTCGCTTGGAGAACGGGCAGCGTTAAGGCTGACGGGCCAAATGCTAGGAAAGCTTGGTAGGGCGGCGCCACCTATCTACTAAATAGGAATCGAGCGAAGATTAACTCAAAACGACAGAGAAACACGAGGGTGGGAGGCGGCATCAGGCGCATTCGCAAGAGCACGCCCAGCTCCTGTACCCTCTCCGTGCCTGCTGAGCTAATGGGATAAGAGCCCCCTGGCAAGCGCCTCCCCCTTCCTGGGACCGCCCTCTCCTACTTGGGCAGCTAGAGTAAGCGCCTTCAGCATCTGGATGGCAATGCTTCAGCCCATCTGCTGAACCCGTGAAGAAGATGGAATCGTCTGGCAAGAGACCTCTTTACCCAGAAGGTAAGGGAATGGACGCACAAGGAGGAATGATGTGCATGTGGTCGACGGGAGGTGGGGGTGGGGGCAAGTGGCGAGTAGAGGGATTTATCTCTCCTCACTTTTTACCTCTTCTTCTACCTTCTTCTTCTTCTAAGTCTTGCTTGTCGGACTGTGGATGTTTTTCGAAACTGTAGCAAAATTAGGAATGCTAAGGAACAAGATTCTTTCCCTTCAATGTCTTCCTTTTCTTCTTCCACTTCTGTTTTGTTTTTCTGATTTTCCTTACTAATACCAGATCAGCTCCCTCTGCCTAACTCCACATGTACTCACACTGCTTAAGTGAATGCTGAATTTCTAAAAGAGATGGCGCACACTGGGGGGGGGGGACGACAGCCGAGTGCACCTATATCGCATATAATGTATGTGTCTTAGTTTCTCAAAGTCACCCAGTCCTGCTGTAACCCATACAATACTTTCTTGGAGTTTCTTTAACTCACAGGGCAAGGATACTCAAATTTCTAGATGCCTTAGGTATAATTTTGCTAAGACCTAAAGAAGGTGGGGAAAAATGGAGTTTTCCTTGAAAAGAGAGCAAAGTATATGCAGGGGCTGAAGAGAAGAATCAGCCACACTGGGTGCAAGAGATGCTTGCAGGAAAAAAACATTTTAGTTAGTTATAGCATGTGGGAAGGCTCCAACAGGTAATTTAGATTTTCCTGTCCTTATTCCATTCTCTCCTATCTGTGTCTAGGCTGGTGTATATAATAAATACTTTATTTATTTATTTATTTCTGCAATTAAAGCACACAATCTCTTTCCAGAATGCTTGTTTTTTAAGCTGCCTTGAAGAGAAATATTCTAAGGCTGATTCCCTTCAAGAGAGGGGGAAGTTAAAATGCTTGGCTAGAATTTCCAGATTAATTCAAAATGTATATCCCCAAGGTGACTAGTTGGCTGCCTGTCTCAATTAACCCAGCAGGTTGAGCAAAACTAAATTAAGCAATTCAGTAGTAGCCTCCTTATCTGTTTTCCTGTACTGTTATTTCCTGCTTTTCTTTTACCTGCATGTGGAGAATCTAGAGATAAGAAAGAACTTTCAAATTTATCCCCAAATTTATATGTCTATGTATCTTGCCACACCCACACCCCCCAAACAATATGAGAACAATAATAATATTTTCCTTTAATATAATGTCTCAAGGGTGATGGGAAGTTACAAAATATGAAGAACAAATAAATAAATAAATGTATTGGGCTCATTATGATCTGTGCGTAGTGCTTAGTTTGGAGAGATGAAAGTTGGCATATCTTTATTGTGCTACTCTAAACTGTGTTTATGCTGGGCACATCAGTTAGAGAAAGATAAATGGAATTTCTTGTAAGCAGATGTATTATCAGCTGGGAGGAGAAGAGGGGAATCTAATTGTGAGAAAGTGCAAAAGACTCATCTGAGCACAGTTTGCATTTTTAAATGCATTGAAATGATACTTGAACCTAAGTGTGAGCTTTTTTAAAAAAATAAAATCCAGACTAAAAAAAGCTGCAGTCTAATGTATGTATTCGACTTATTATAAACCTAAAATTTACATCATGAAACTCCGAGTTTGCAGTTTACCTTTTCTTTCTTAGATTATCATTGTCTGTTTAGAAATAAATTGTATTTGTTGAGGGGGGGGGAAGGGGGGAAAACATATGTATGCTTTTCAGGGACACACACAAATTTTGGATTTCTGGCAGAAATTAACAAGAATCCATCATTTATTTCCTTTATCTATGGGTGAATAAGTAAGTGTTTCATAAAGTTCTTCTCCAGTGTGCTATGGATCTAAGAAAAGACTGTGGATTTATATTTTCAGTGTAGAAATCAAATTATTAACAGCCCTGGTTTAAAGATGACTCATGTCTATTTAAGAATGGATGGAATGGTCAAAAAATACAAATTATTTTGAAGAAAGCTTGAAATAAACAAAGACCTTTTGCTTAGTCTTGGGGCTTTTTTATGATGGCAGGATACTTGTTACTGAAAGAAAAAAAATATTTGTTGTGACAGTTAGCTAACATTTTATTTAAGTCATATATATAAATTCTTCTACTCAAAAATATCAATAGACTGTTGATTTTTTAAAAAGTCCTATCAAGTCATCTACTTCTATCTTTGTAGGCACATATACAATATACAGTACTATGCCTATTTGTTGTTGCTTTTAAGTACTCAAGTGATGTTAATATGAGTCTAATCCAAACTGTAATAGCATCTTTCCTGTTGCATTTGATGTCTGGGGAAAAAAACCGTAGAATGCACTGTGTTCTTATTCTGGTTGGTTCACAATATTCTATCATTGTCAGCATTATATATATTTGCATGTGTTTCTATGGAAGGAGGATTTTTGGTGATAATCTATTGCTATCAAAACATCTATCTAAAATACTTGTTTCCTTGTTTGTTTGTTTACTATTGGTACCCTAGAGTGACATTTAGCTCAAATATATTGACAGCCAAATTATGTTAAACTGTGCAGTGAGGTGAACAACCTTTGAAACCTTGCCAACCATTGGCAAAGCAAAGTACTGCAAGCATATAAAATATGTACATTGCACATTTATTTCAGAATAAATTATTTTATTAGTGGGACTAGAGCCAATTCATTTATTTTCAAGACTAAATTATTGCAATATAGCATACTTATGTTTATGTGTGGACTTGTCCTTGCAGATGACATTCTATGATGAACATTTTTCCTTTTACCTTAGAATACCTTGTGCATACTTTACATTTTTCATGTATTACTGTTATAGTAGGATGTAACCTATGGCCTACTCCACATTGGTCTCTTAGAAACCACTTAAACTAATTCAGAATCAAACAGTTCACAGAATCATATCCATAGTCTTAAACATATTTTAAAATTGTTTTGGGAACAGTGAACTGCTCTATGTTTTATGTTATTTTTTATTAATATTAACCTATTGATAAACATAGCTTGTTCTCTGGAGCATGTCAATAAGTACATTTCTTTAAATATTCGTGCAAATCCTGCAATTGATAATTAACACTGCAATCCAATAAATATACTCACTCAGTGTAAACTTACTGAGTTCGATAAGATTTAATAGCACTGAATTTTGACTTGCAGCTTTACATGTACTTATTTGGAATCGGAGTAAAAGCTACTTAAATCAGTGGAATTTACAAAGAAATCATCATAAGGCCATGTCTAAAATCCATTTTAACATAAATACTTATTGTTTTTAAAATGTAATTTATGTAAATTCAATTATGGCTTAATATTGATTTAAGGGACACATTTGGTGTGCTTGTGACAGCAATGTGGAGATGTATGCATTTAGAGAAATGCATTCTGGTGCCTTTCAGAAATTTTGGGAAAACTCCATTTCATTTTCAAATATATATTTATATTTATAAATATAATTATAATTATCAGACAAATCCAGCATTATTCCATTCCATTCCAAGAAGTTCTAAAAATCTATTCTGGGTAGCCTAGGCATTCTTTTAAAATCATTTAGTTCTGTGTGCCAAAGTAGTGTTATGTATTCTCTGGGTTCTGAATTGCTTTTAAATATGCATTGCTTGTACATCAGGAGGGTCCCTTCTAAGAAAGTTGAAACATTTTCTAAGATTTTTCCTTTATTAATAACATTTTATAGTCCATTAATATTGTCTTCTGGTGAACGATTTAATGCAACATATTAGTTTACAGGATTGTGCCATGTTTGTTTTCGGAGATGAGATGTCAGCCACTAACCCTGTATTTTTTAGGTCTTCTCAACTAGAGAATCTCAAAATCCTACCATTTAAATGTTTAGTTCGGTATTAATAGTGCTCATTCAATCAATTTTTTTTTTTACTATATTCAACATTCCTTTTTGACCTGGAGACTCTGCCAGCAAAAATGTAGAATCTTCTTGTTTATCTGTCATCACTGATGAAGGCCTCAACAGTTTGGATTTTTTTTTAAATAATCATGTTAAGATTAGATGTGATGTGATGATTGATCAAGCCAATTTGGGCAAAGAATGTTCTTGCACATGTTGAACAGACATATATAGACACTGCAGTTGTTGTGCTAGTGGCCTTGGTTTTATGAGGCTAGCACTTACGTTGTGCTTCAGCAATGTGCCTTGCTTCGTAAATTTGACCACCTTTGTGGATGAGACTGCAAAATGGTTTTGTGCCAGGACTTCCCAGGGGTTGTGTTTATATCAAGTAATGACGGGGAGGCCTTTAGTGTGCCTTTGTGCTATTTCTTCACATGCGAGCCTCTTCCAGTAGGAAGTTCCCCAAAAGGAGTTGCTTGGGTATGTGCTTGTTTGGTATACATATGACATGACCTTCTTTGCTACCCCCTCTCCCATTTGTGCTTTCATCAGAAATCTGTGGAGTGATGGTAGACCTGTTCTAGATAAAACTTCAGTGTCTGATTCTTTGTCTTGTCAACTAATGCCTAATATCCTGTAAAGACAAGTCATGTGGAAATGGTCTTGCATTACTTCGACGCATAGTGTTTCTCAGGCACAAACTCTGCCAACAAAAAAGTAGGCTGTAATGTCATAGTGGCAATGTTACAAGAATATTTGACTTGTTCTTATCTGCTATTCATTACCCGTAGCCATCCCACGACTGATTAAAATACTGGAACTTCAGTTAATTGATGAAATTATCTTAGGAATTAGATTGAATTAAACTTTTGATGTGGTGGTATATTTCTCTGTTTCACAGCTGAATTTCAGTTGGTGCAGCCTGTTTTTTCTAAACTTTGTATCAATGGAGTTTCTTCTTTTAGGGATGAAATAGATTATTTGTTTCACTTTTTTTATATCTTGCTGATATTCTAGGTTTAGTGAAGATATATTTCTAAAACTCCATAATAATTTTCTGGTACACATATTTTCCAAACTCTGCTTATGCTCAGCTCTCATTTCCAAATCTATTTAGGATTATATTCTGGCAATAAGCTAAAAGCCCATACACTATATTTCACTTTGCATCTCATAGTAAG